CTTAAGTATGCCAGACTACTATTCCTGGACTTTATTAATCACTAATAACTTCTCCATTGACAGCTTTTACTTTAAAGACTTATTTTATTTTAGAGAGAGAGAGAGACAGCATGAGCTGGGGCAGAGGATGGGGGGGGGCATGGAGGGAGAGGATAGAGGGAGGGAGAGAATCCCAAGCAGATTCCCTGAGATCATGAACCAAAATCAAGAGTCCACTGCTTAACCCACGAGCCATCTAGGCAGCTTTTAGTTTAACTGTGATAACCAAGCCCTACCATACTGAACTTGAAAAGTTCTTTGACAGAAGCAAAGAAATTTGGCATTTTGGTTAGCCATTGAGATTGTTGAAATAGAGCAACATATAAATCTCAGAAAAAGACATTGGGAAAAATGAGTAAAAGATTGTGAACATGGAATTTTTTTCTTATGCATAAACAATCTAAATAGGCAATAAATACATAGTTTTAAAGGACAAGCTTACTGTAATGTAATACATTGCATTGTATATGTAATTTTTGGCATAGCCATTCAACTATATAGACTGACTAAGGAAATAAGCAGATATGTAAAGGCATACAGATAGGTGTTCATTGAAGTACTTTTTAAAAAATTTATTTATTTAGAGAGCACACAAGTGGGGAGGGCATAGGGACAGAGGGAGAAAGAGAATCTCAAGCAGACCCCCGATGGAGCTCAGAGCTGGAGGCATGGCTCCATCCCAGGACCCTGAGATCTGACCTTAGTGGAAATTGAGAGTCTGATGCTCAACCAGTTGAGCCACCTGGGTGCCTCTGTAGTAGCAAATGCTGGAAGTAAAAACTGCTGAGTAGTATATTTTAAAATGGATTGCGAATGTGGTAGGATTCTTTGCAACCATTAAAAATCATGTGGATTTAATTGCATTGACAAAAAAGCAGGTTGTAAACTATATTTAGGGTAGAGTTCATAAAACTGTAAAATAGTAAAATGGCATAGGCTATAGGCCAACACTGGTTATTTCTTTATAGAGGGAAAAAGATTTTTATTAATATTCAGGTTTTACAGATTTTGTAAGTAAACATAGTTTTTATGATCTGAAAAAAAGTTTCTTGAAGATGAACTAAGGAAACCACCTTAGGATTGGAACAAAGATGAGTAATTGGGATTCTGGGGAACTCTGCTCGGCCCATGAAATGCCTCAGCAGCTTAAGACCTGGTTTCCTCAGATGTATAGCACGATTTTATTTAATTTTTTTTTTTTTATTTGCCTGATGCCTGACAATACCACTGGGTCTAAGAGAAGAGAAAATGGGAGCATGAATTAAGGAGCATAAGGGGACAGATGTTAATGAGTTTCCCCTTGTTCAGCAAACATTTAGCAAAGCCAGGATTTGAGGACACAAAGACAGGAAATAATGGAGGGAGCTCAAAAATAGATTTTAGAATGAATGCAGTGCACATACAGTGAAGGAGCAGTCATAATAGCCAACATTTACAATGTACCAAGCCCTCTTCTGAGTATTTTGCATACATTAACTTACTCTTGAGTAATCCTGTGAGGTAACTGCTGTTATTCGCCAAAGTGAACAGAAAGAACTCTGGAGCCATACTGCCTGAGGGAGAATCTAGAGTCCACCACTTCCTAGCTTTTTGATCTTGACAAGTTACTTAAACACTCTATGCTCGGTCTCCTCATCTATGAACATGTGGACAGTGCTAGACCCATGTAGGATTACTGAAGGCTGTAAATCACTTAGAATAGTACATAGTAAGTGGTGTTTCTTTAAAAATAAATAAATAAATTTTAGAAAACGCCCTCAATTTTGTAGCTGAGGAAACAGGTAGAGAGGTGTTTGGCACTTTGCCACAGTCACTGAGGCAGTGTGACTTAAGAGCTCCTGCTCTTGATCCTCCTGATGTTCCAAGTGAGGGTAGACTCAGAAGAAAGCATCTTGAGAAGAGATCGGTAAGATGAGTCCTGTTGGATGAGAAATCATTCCCCAGACCAAAGGGAGGATTAAAGTAGAGCCCTGACAAGGAGGGAGTTCTGTAAGCAAAGGAAGGAGGCATGAAACAGAATGGCATGTGGGGCAGGGTGAGGTTAGGAATTACTGGAGCCTTGTTAAGTAGGAGGTTGATAATAACCAGAAGAAAGGCTGGAGAGCTGGGCAGGAGCCAGGAGTTTAGGGAATTGTATGTTGTACTGAAATACACATCTCATCTTATGGAGGGTGAGGATAGAAGTGGGGTAAAATTGGAGACAGAGCAGTTAGCAAGTTGTTGCAAAAATCTTAAGAGATCTGAGTCCAAACCCTTAACTAAGGCTGTTAGCAGTAAGATTGGAAAAGACCAGGGACAGATTTGAGAATTATTATAGGAGGTAAAATTGACAGAGTTAAGGATTTGACTTGGGAGGTCCAGTGGTATAATTAGTAGAGAATACAGAAAAAAAGACTTTTTTTTTTTTTTTAATGGAAACATACTGAGTTTGAAGAAATTATAGCAGGTGGTTGGAAATTTGGTGAATCTGAAGGCAAGTTGAAAACCTCAGAACTGGGGCACCAGGGTGGTTCAATCAGTTAAGCATCTGCCTTCAACTCAGGTCATGATGCCAGAGTCCTGGGATTAGGCCCCACATTGGGCTCCCTGCTCGGCAAGGAATCTGCTTCTCCCTCCATCCCTTCCCCTCCTCTCACTTGTATTATCTCTCTCTTAAATAAATAGATGAAATCTTTAAAAAGAAAAGCTCAGAACTGAATATAAGTATGTGAGAGGTGAATCATGGCTTTAGTACAATTAGCCTGAATGGCATCTTTGTATTTCTTCACCTTTTCAGCAAATTGGGTCTTTATGTGCCAGGCACTAGGGTTCCTGTGGTAGTGGTCTGAGGGGCCCCTCCCTGAGGCCATGCTCAGTTGAGGTGACTTTTTCACTTTAGGGTGCTCAAGACCAGGTAGAGAACATACTGGAAACATTTGTTTTGACTCTTTCAAACTTGAATTACTAACACAGCTGGGCTGATAGTTGTATTTTGGGTGGGGTTTTTTTTTGGCGGGGGGGGGGGGGCAGGGGGAGCGGGGAGATGGTCACAATTGCAATTTGCAGAAGTTTACTTGGAGGGCAGACACTGTATGCTTTGATAATTTGAGGGTCTCAGTGCATTTGGCTCTTTTTTAGAATTAAGAGTTTGAAATAAGTGGGTGGATTGGCCCTAATCTCAATTTTGTGCAATTTAAACTCACTGGATAAAGTTCCCCCTTTATAAAGTCATTTAAAATAATTATTCCATTAACATTTGAAGTTCTTAATATAAATGTTACCTATGAGGAATTAGGGAACAAGACTTTTAAAATCTAGTCCTCTTATATGTACCTTTTCTGTTCTCCCTATATATACTAATTTTATAGGCTCACCTTTAGGGAATCCCAAGAGCCTTGGTGTTTTTGTGTTGGGAGAAGTGGGGAAAGAGTCTGTTTTTATTTTGGTCAGAGTGGAGAAGTGTGATACATTGGCTGGCTGTTGTCAATGACAGAGGTATTCTTGGACACTTGCTTCAGTGCTGACCTACAGAAGTGTATTGAGTAATTAAGGCATCGATAAAAGGGTTTGATATTCTAAAATTTTGCATCAAGTGTGATGCAATGGTGACCTGCTGTAAAAGAAAAAATTTGGAATGAAAAAAAAGGCCCCTTCAGGGACCCAAGAGGGGAATGGGCTGCGTGCTGCAACAGTGAACTCCCTGTATCTGAGATGCAGAGAAGGGGGGGCCCCAAGGATGCTGCTGGAAGCACCCCAGCTCTGGGTGAGCAGTCCTTTATGGGTCAGGGTTTTTTTTTTTTTTTTTTTATGCTTTTGCATTGACTACTCATTCTTGGACTATTTTGGCACATGCTGCTCTCAATTTTCTAAACTCTAGTTATTTTTGTCAAATCAAGATTACATGATCCCATTTCACAATAAAATAAAATTTTCTAATTAGATTGTAAGCTCCTCAAAGACAGGGATAAAATAAAATCTTCTGAACACCTACAGGGCCAAGTTTTATGCCAGGACTTTTCATTCTTGATTGATGAATCATATAGAGCTTTCAATTTCCATGTGGTTTTATTCAGAGATAATGGTTTCCAGTTATATTACTTTAAGAAACAAAAGACAAAATATTCTAGACATGTCTTTTTTATTTAGGAAGCATGAAATATTTGGAAATTTTCATTGGTACAAATTTGAAGGAACAGTGTAGTTCCAATTCTGAAGCATCAGCTGAAAAAATCCAATGTCATTGTTGAGAGTTATATGTAGGAAGGCAGTCATTTAAAAACTAAACTAGGGAACTGTTGAGTTTTATTATATATTGTTTTTTAAATGAAGAATTATGGGTCTTTATACCCTTTTCACGATGAATGTTTTATTTTCTAAGCATGTGCTTTTGAAGGCTTCTAAGATGAATAGCTTTAAAAGAAGAGTCAGATTAATTTTGTCCTTTAGATGTACTGAAAATTAATTTTTGGCTTAGGCTTCCGTTTTAGAAACTACGTAAAAAAAAAAAAAAGAAACTATGTACGTGTAACAATTGATGAATTTTGACCTCCTAAATTAACCCATCAGTGTGCAGTAGTAGCACATATGCTTGTTTATAAGTGAGGATTTAGAAATTAAGGTATAAAAAAATAAGATTTACCATAAAGAGGCAGGTTATCTAAACCTCTAGCACCTGTTTTTCAAATCTGTATAGAATGCCCTATTTTAAGAAAACATTTGTTTTCTTGAAGGTGATTATTCATATTATAAAATATTTCCGGTACTGAAAAACCACCATTTCTTGTGCTAAAATTATCCACATATAGTCATGTGATAAAACTTCCAGATAATATTCAACACAGAAGTGGGTTGCATGTATACTGTACTTTGCTTAGTGGTTATTGGCTGGCATCACTAAGGCAGTTAGTTCTTAATCTAGTGTATTTTTTATGGATTATACAATAATATTTTTAAAATAACCCTTTACAAAATATTTATTTCAGAGCCCAGTGATGTGACTCTAAAAATTTACCGAGCGGAATCATATGCTGGTCTTCAAGAGTTTAAAGCAGCCATAGAAGATTTAAATGCAGTTCTCTTTCAACTGCCAAATTGGCCTGAGGTAAAATTATTGTTTTACATTTATATACACTTAATAATTTCACCTGTAGGGAACATGAATTCAGTTATGGTTACAAGTTTTACCAAGATAGATTTGTTGACTCTTTAAATAAAATATATGGAGTTTTAGAAATCTGGGGTTAGTATTTTGTGTGGATGGCTATCTAGCAATTTTTTTAATTAAAGGTACCTTTATTTCCTAACTAAGAACAACCTGTATTTAAGGCATAGAGAAAAACAAAGAGACTTGAATAATCAAAATTTCCTCAAAGAGATGAAACTGGTCACACTGTGAAAATGTATCCCAGCTGAAAATTTATGGAGGAGGTCTATTGATGCAAAGAGACGAGGTCCTTTAGGCTGGAAGTTGGAGGCATCATCATGGAGGCTCGATGAGGCAGTGATTTAATGCAGTCAGTGGGGACCAGGGAGGTTGCCTTGCCCATATGCTTTTAAAAAAAGACTTGAGGCAAATATATCTTATGTAATAAGTTTACTCATTCTCCTTTGTATCATATTGCCAAGGCAAATCAGTTCATGTCCCATATATGTTCTTTAAGCTAGAAGTTACTGTCTTATATGACTGTTTGCCCATTTGAAACCATGCCTTTGAGGACAAAATAGTAAGGATGCTCTAAAAATTATAAATTAATAAGAAAAATGACACAGAATCCCATGATGGCCTGACTGGTTAGCACAAGGCAAATATATATTAAGAAGATGGAAAATGATCTTGTATGGACAATTTTAAAACTATTAAAAAAAGAAAGAATCCTCTGGATTACTGAAGTGGTATAATTAGGAATTTGGCTTTGAAGTCATTTTTCCATAAGCACTTCTCTGGGGGACGTGTGTAACTGTACCTTTGAAATGCTTTGGGCTTCTCAGAGTCATTGAGAATTTTAAAATGCACATTTCCAAGCAAACCATATTTTTTTTTCTTGATACTGATTTTTCAAAAATAATTCTGTCAGTAAAAGTTGTATATATGTGCTTCCATTGAAGGTCTACTTCAGGAAAGGAAAAGTACTCCAGGATGCTGGTTTTTTAGGTGATGCCTTACAACTATTTCTTCAGTGCTTAGCCCTTGATGAGGATTTTGCACCTGCAAAGCTAGAAGTAGAAAAGGTAATCGGTTTATAATAGTTGAAGGCAGGTCTAAGACACGTTGTCTTTTTAAAAATGCTAATTAGAAACTTGAGATAAGAACATAAGGAATCCAGGGGCGCCTGGGTGCTCATTCGGTTAAGCAACTGCCTTCAGCTAAGGTCATGATCCTGGGGTTCTGGGATTGTGCCCCACATCTGGCCCTCTGCTCAGCAGGGAGTCTGCTTCTCCTTCTTTCTCTGCCACCCTGCCTCCCCCAACTCATGCTTTTTCTCTCTCTCAAATAAATAAAATCTTAAAAAAAAAAAGAGAGAACATAAAGAGTCCAGTGAGTCAGATTTAGTATCAATTTGACAAGTAGTTTTCAGGTCTGTATACTTAATGTATAGAGTTTTTACTGAAATCAAAACATTTCATTAGCAGATATTTAAATTTATTATTTTTGGGTAAATTTAGGTGTTTCCTACTAGTTTGATTGGAACCAAACTAACCATCCTTAATTGTCATGATATTCCTGCTAAAATTTTTTTTTAATTGAAACAAAATAGATACATAACACTATATGTTTCCATGTACCACATTGTAAGAGATCACCACTAAAAGGCTCTTTACCATCCATCACCCTTCCCCCATTTTACTCAATGCCCTTCCTCTTTGGTAACCACCAATCTGTTCTCCGTATCCGTGAGTTTGTTTTGGTTTGGTTTTGTTTATTCATTTCTTTTTTTGTTTTTGTTTTAGATTCTATATATGAAGTAAAGTCATACCACATTTATCTTTCTCCATCTGACTTATTTCACTTAGCATAATACCTTCAGAGTCCCTTCATGTTGTCCCAAATAGCAAAATACCATTTTTTTAGTGGGGGAGACTAAGTGGTTGTCCATTGGATATGTATACCATATCTTTATTCATTCATCCATTGATGGACATTTAGGCTGTTTCCATTTCTCAGCTCTTGTAAATAATGCTGCACTGAACATAGGAATGCACACGTCTTTTCAAATCGGTGTTTTTGCATTCTAAAGATGAATATCCAGAACGATAGCTGCACGATATAATTGTTCTAGTCTTAATTTGTTTAGGAATCACCATCCTGTTTCCATTAGTGGCTTTACCAACAACAGTACACAGGATCCACTTTTCTCCACATCCTCAGAGCCTTGTTATCTCTTGTGTTTTTGATGATAGCCATTCTAACCACTGTGAGATGATACCCCATTGTGATTTTGGTTTGTATTTCCCAAACTAGTGATGTTGAGCATCTTTTATGTAGGCCATATGTATACCTTTTTTGGAAAAAATGTCTTTTCAGATCTCTACCCATTTTTAATTAGGTTTTGTTGTTGTTGAGTTGTAAGAGTTCTATATATATCTTGGATATTAATCGCTTGTCAGATACATGATTTGCAAAAACCTCCCATTTAATAGGTTGCCTTTTTGTTTTGATGATGATTTCTTTTGCTGTGCAGAAGCTTTTTAGTTTGATGCAATCCCATTTGTTTATTTTTGCTCTTTTCCTTGCCTTTGGAATCAGATCCACAAAAATACTGCTAAAACCCAGATTGAGGAAACCGTATATTTTCTTCTAAGAATTTTATGGTTTCAGGTCTTCAAGTCTTTAATCCATTTGAGTTTTGTGTATGGCGAAAGATACTGGTCTAGTTTCACTCTTTTGCATGTGACTCTCCAGCTTTCCCCAGCACCATTTATTAAAGAGACTCATTTTTCCATTGTATGTTCTTGGCTCCTTTGTTGTAAATTAATCGTCCATTTATGTATGGGTTTAATTCTGGGTTCTCAGATCTGGTTCATTAATGCATGTGTGCATTTTTATGCCATTATCATACTGTTTTGATTACTGTAGCTTTGTCCTATAGTTTGAAATCAAGGAGCACACTCCAGCATTGTTCTCTTTTCTCAAGATTGCTTTGGCTATTTGGATTCTTTTGTGATTGTTGTAGACAATTTTAGAATTCTTTAGTCTAGTTCTATGGAAAAGTACTATTAGGATTTTGATAGAGATTACATTGAATCTGTAGGTTGCTTTGGGAAGTATGGACATTTTAATAGTATTCTTCCAATCCATGAGTGTCACTGGAATAAATCCCATTTGATCATCCTGTATGAACTTCTGCTGTGTTGTGAAATTCAGTTAGGTAATATTTTGCTGAGGATTTTTGCAGTAATGTAGTCACTGATAATGGTCTGTAGTTTTCTTTTCCTGTGGTTTCTTGTCAGACTGCTGGCCTCAAAATTTTCAGTGTTTCTTTAATTTTTTTGGAAGAGTTGAGAAGGGTAGATATTAAATCTTTGAATATTTGGTAGAATTCACCAGTAAGCCATCTGTCCTGGACTTCTGTTTATTTGGAGGTTTTTGATTACTGATTCAATCTTCTTAATAGTAAATGATCTATTCAAAATTTTTGTTTCTTCACCATTCAGTCTTGGTGGATTGTATGTTTCTACAAATTTATTCATTTCTTCTTGGTTCAACTTGTTGGCATATAACTTTAGTAGTGTCTTATATTCCTTTATATTTTGGTGATGTCAGTCATAACATCTCATTTCTGATTTTATCAGAGCCCTCTTTTTTATCTGACAGATTTTTACCTTTTTTTTATCCTAGTATAATTGACATAGTGTTATATTAGTTTTACATGTATACTATAGTGATTCAACAGTTCTATACATTCTTCAGTGCTCATCATGATCCAAGTGTATTTTTAATCCCTTCATCTATTTCATCGTAAACCCCACCCACATCCTCTGTCAATCACCCATTGTCTGCTTTTGTTTCTTTTTTTCTTTGTTCATTTGTTTTGTTCCTTGCATTCCACATATGAGTAAAACCATATGGTACTTGTCTTTCTGGACTAACATTTCATTTAGCATTATATTCTCTAGATATGTCCATGTCGTTGAAGATGGCAAGATTTCATTCTTTTTTACGGCCAAGTAGTATTCCATTGTGTACATACACATCTTCTTTATCCATTCATCTGTTGCTTCCATAGTTTAGTTATTGTTAATAACGTTGCAGTAAACACAGAGGTGCATATATCTTTTTGAATTAGTGTTTTTGTGTTCTTTGTGTAAATCCCCAGTAGTGGAATTACTGGGTCATATGGTATTTCTGTTTTTAGTTTTTTAAGGGACTTCCACAAAGTTTTCCACAGTGGCTGCACCAGTTTGCATTTCTACGCATAGTGAATAAGGGTTCCTTTTGTCCCCCACATCCTGGCCAACACCTGTTGTTTCTTGTGTTTTTTATTTTAGCCATTTGACAGGTGTGAGGTGATACCTCGTGGTTTTGATTTGCGTTTCCCTGATGATTAGTGATGTTGAGCATCTTTTCATGTTATCTGTTGGCCATCTGTATATCTTCTTTGAAGAAATATCTATATATGTCCTGTGCTCATTTTAATTGGGTTATTGGGGGGGGGGAGTTGGTTAAGTTCTTTATATATCCTATATATATAAAGGATATATATCCTATCCAAAATAGGATATCAACCCCTTATTGAATATATTATTTGCAAATATCTTCTCCCAGTCAGCATGTTGTCTTTTGGTTTTGTCGATGATTTCCTTTACTGTGCAGAAGCTTCTTATTTTGATGTAGTGCCAGTAGTTTATTTTTGCTTTTTGTTTCCCTTTCCTTAGGAGACCTACCTAGAAAAATGTTGCTATGACCAATGTCAAAGAAATCATTGACTGTTCTGTCTTCTAGGATTTTTATGGTTTTAGGTCTTACATTTAGGTCTCTAAGCCATTTGGAATTTAATTTTGGGTCTCTAAGCCATTTGGAATTTAATTTTGGGTATAGTGTAAGAAAGTGGTCTAGTTTCATTTTTTTGCATGTAGCTGACCAGTTTTCTCAACACCATTTGTTGAAGAGACTGTCTTTTTTCCCATTGAATATCATTAATGGATGTTATACCTTGTCAAGTGCTTTTTCTGCCTTTATTGAAATGATCATATGGTTTTTATCCTTTCTCTTGTTGATGTATCACATTGATTGATTTGTGAATATTGAGCCACCCTTGCATCCCAGGAATAAATTCCATTTGATTGTGATTAATGATTTTTTTAATGTGCTGTTGGATCCAGTTTGCTAGTATTTTGTTAGGGATTTTTGCATCTATGTTCATCAGAGATACTCGCCTGGCCTAGAGGTCTTTGTTTTCATTTTTTTTTTTTTGGTATCATCTTCATCTGGTTTTGATGTCAGGGTAATGCTGACCTCATAGAATGAATTTGGAATCTGTCCTTTCTTTGGGTTTTTGGAATAGTTTGAGAATAGATATTAACTCTAGATATTTAAATGTTTGGTTAGAATTTCTTTATGAAGCCATCTGCTCCTGGACTTTTGTTTGTTGGGATGTTTTTAATTACTGGTTTAGTTCATTGCTAGGAATTGGTCTGTCCAAATTTCCTATTTCGAATGCAAGAGCCCTTTTTTTCTTTTTTTTTTGGTCTGGGTGTCTTGACATTTGTTGATTTTATTTATGTGTTCAAAGAACCAACTTTTAGTTTTTTTGATCATCCCTCTTTTCGTCTATATTTCATTTATTTCTGCTGTGATTTATTATTTCCTGTCTTCTAGGACTTTGGGCTTTGTCCCCCCTTTTTTTTTTCCTAGCTGCTTTAGGTATAAAGTTAGATTGAGATTTTTCTTGTTTCTTGAAGTAGACCTGTTAGAACATCTTTTGCTGCACCCCAAAGATTTTAGCACATTGTACTTCTATTTTCATTTCTCTCTAGCTTTTTTTGTTTAATTTCTTTGGTAACTTCGATGAACCATTTGTTATTCAGTTGCATGATGTTTAATCTCCACATTTTGGGTTTTTTTTTCCTTGTAAGTAATGACTAGTTTCATACCATTGTGGTTGGGAGAAGATGCTTGATATGATTTCAGTATTCTTTAATTTGAGGCTTGTTTTGTGGCCTAACATGATCTATTCTGGAGAGTGTTCCATGTATACTTGAAATGTTTGGATGCAATTTGGATGCAGTGTTCTGTATATATTTGTTAAGTTCATCTGGTCTAATGTATCATTTAAGGCCAATGGTTCCTTATTTTCTGCCAAGATGATCTATCCATTGATGTAAAGGGGGTAGTAAAGTCCTTCATTATTATTGTATTACTGTCAGTCCCTCCCTTTAGGTCCATTTTATTTGCTTTATATATCTTGGTGCTCCTATGTTGGGTATATATATGTTTGTAAAATGTGTTCTTGTTGGATCTTATCACTGTAATGCCCTTTTCTATTATTGAAATCTTTGTTTTAAAGTCTATTTTGTCGGCTATGAGTATAGCTATACCAGCTTGCTTTTCATTTCCATTTGCTTGGAGCATCTTTTTTCCATCCTTCACTTTCAGAGTGTGTGTGTCCTTACTTCTGAAATCTCTAGTAAGCAGCATATAGATGGATCTTGTTTTCTTATCTATTCAGCCACCCTGTGTCTTTGATTAGAGAGTGTAGTCTGCTTGCATTTAGAGTAAGTCTTGATAGGTATGTACTTATTGCCATGTTAATTATTTTTGGCCATTTTCATCTTTCTTCTCTTCCATTCTTCTCTTTCTCTCTTACCTTGTAGTTTAGTGGCTTTCTTTAGTGTGAAAAAACCTATGATTAGGTTTTTTTCTCATTTTCTTTTGCATATTTTACCATCAGTTTTTGCATTGTGGCCACTATAACATTCATATATAACTTCCTTTGTATGCAGTGGTCTGTTTGGAGTTGATAGCAACGTAATTTGAACACATTCCAAAACTACATTTTTTTCTCCCCCCTCATCTTTTAGTTTTTTAATGTCACCTTATACATCTCTTTATTTTATGCATCTCTTAACTAATTATTGTAGTTTTAATTATTGTCTTTTAACATTCATATTTGCTTTATAAGTGATTGATCTACTTACCTTTAATACATGTTTTCCACTGAGATTTTTACTTTGATACGTTTTCTTATTAATTAGTGCCACTTCTTTTCAGTTTAGAGAAGTCCCTTTAACTTACCTTGTAGGGCCAGTATAATGGTGATCACATTAGCCCTTGTTTGTCTGGAATACTCCTAATCTTTTTTTTTAGTTCTGAATAATAACCTTGCCTTGGTAGAGAATTCTTGGATGGAAGTTTTTTCCTTTCAGCCCGTTGAATATGTTGTGCCACTCTCTTCTGACCTGCAAAGTTTCTGGTGATAAATCTGATGGCCTGTGGAGTTTCCCTTTCATATAATAAGGTTTTTCTTTTGCTGTTTTTTAGGATTCTCTCTTTAAATTTTTGTGTTCCAATTGTAATGTGTCTTGGTGTGGATCTCTTTGTGTTCATCTTCTTTGGAACTCTGTGCTTCTTGGACCTGGAAATTTTGTTCTCTTCTCCAGGTTAAGGAAGTATTCAGCCATTATCTCTCCAAATAAGTTTTCTGGCCCATTCTCTTCTCACTTTGGGACCACTACTCAAGAATTTTTATTGGTCTGCTTTTAGCTTTTAATTTCCAGCCTAAGTTCTGCTTATTTTCATAGTTGCCCATAGTATTGCCTCAATTTATTCTACCTGCCTTTACTCAGTAATCCATATATCACTTTCCAGAGTTTGTTTTGCAGTGTGTTAGTAGGTTTTAAATAAAAGAAAAAAAAAAGGAAGTAGTTCTCTGATCAAATGACTGGGGAATATTGGGTTCAACCAAGTTAAACAGATTTCTTCAGAAATTCTCAGAGATTTTGCTATGCTAGCATGAGTAGCATTCAACTTTTGTCAAACTTATTCACATAGCATCTAGAAAGACTAGAATCTTTGAAAAATTCTTTTGGAAAATCTACCCTGATATAATTGCACTCATGTTTTCAGTATCTTCAGAACATGCCATCTTATTTATCACTTTATAGGATTTTTTACATTGTAGTCAGAATCACCTTGGGTGCATGGTAAGTGTAACGATTCCTGGACTTTACCACAGACCTTTGGAGTTAGAATCTCTGGAATTTGGGCATAGTTTTACAAGCACCCAGGGAGATTCTCGTGCACTTTGAAGTATGAGAATTTTGAAAATTTTGTCAGCTCTCCAGTGCCTCACGAATACAGCTAACATCAGTGAACCCTCTGTGAGTCTTGTTTGCATATACATCCTAGCCCATGGATTTAATACACTGTTTGCTATTGTGTGTTTTCTGTTTGTTAGTGGTATCTCCCCGGGGAGAGTGCAGACTTTTTAAGGGCATATAATTTTGTATTTTCCATGCTACTAGATATCCTTATATTTCTGTAAATATTTAAAAATTGACCTTTAATTAGGTAAGGTGAATGCAAAATAACTGATGCTTTGAAATATTTGTTCCTGATATGCTTTTTGTAAATTGTGGTATATTTAACATATAATAAAATGCATGGATTTTATAGTTCAAGGAGTTTGGAGAAATTATCCATGTAACAGCACCCCAGTCAAGATGTAGAATATTTCCGTCATGCCAGCAAATCCCCTATATCCCTGCTCCCAGAGGCAACTACTGTTTAGATTTTTATACTATGATAGAGCAGTTTTGCCTATTCTAGAATTTCATGCAAGTGGAATTACACAGTGTGTACTCATGTCTGGCTTTTTTTGCAGAACATAATAGTTTTGTGATCAGCAATATTTTTTCTTTTTTATGGCTTACTAAGTATTCCATTGTAGAAGCATACCATAGTTTATGGTATTAGTAGTGATTTTCATTTGGATTGTTACCAGTTGCTACTATGAACTAACATTCTTGTACAAGTTGTTTTGTGGATATGCTTATATCTCTTTGGTCAATTCCTAGTGGAGTTGCTGGGTTCTAGGATAGGTAAATAAATGTTTAATACTTTTTTTAAAAAACCAGGGGACATAAAAACATACAAATTTTATTTTTTTAAGATCATTTATTTATTCATGGGAGAGACAGAGAGAGAGGCAGAGACGTAAGCAGAGGGAGAAGCGGGGAGCCTGCTTCAGAACTCCATCCCAGGACCTGGGATCACAACCTGAGCTGAAGACAGACGCTCAACCACTGAGCCACCCAAGTGTCCCAAAACATACAAATTCTACAATGTTTGTTCATTAAAGGGGGTATTGCTTGAGCTCCTACCAGATATGCACTTTTATTTGCATTGTAGTGATTTATGAGTAATTTCATTTTTTTTTAAGGTTTTATTTATTTATTCATGAGAGGTAGAGGCAGAGACATAGGCAGAGGGAGAAGCAGGCTCCTCAGGGGAGCCGGATGTGGGATTCAATCAGAGGACTCCCAAGACCACACCCAGAGCCAAAGGCAGATGCTCAACCACTGAGCCACCCAGGCGTCCTGAGTAATCTCATTTTTTGTTTGAGTACAACTGAAAAACCAAACTTCCAGATTTAGACTTTAAGAAATGTTCTGCTGTTCATTTAATACAGCATATTTGACGATCACAAACATTTGAGCCTTTCTCATTTCCTTCTAGCCAGGCTCTTCCCCTAACTTAACCTTTTTTTTTTTTTTTTTTTAGAGTTTAGATGTATTCCTGATAAAAGCACCTGGAAATTTTGATACAACAGCTGCCTTCCAGGTTAACTCCCAGCTATTATGGGACAGCTGCCATATGGTGTGCTCCCATTCCAGAGCTGGGCAGTGGTAGCTGCCCGTGCTTGTGAGAAGCTAAATTCAGTATAAACACATGGAATTTTAAGACTTTTGTAGTTAGAGTTATTATAAGTTCTTTAGTTCACTTAAACACTCTGAGTCCAGCCTTACAGTACACCTTGGGGTGAACTGTGAACCAATCTGACAGAATAGTACTCACTAAAGTTCAGACGTAAATATTTTCTATTTCCCTTAAGGTCTCTTCTTTTTGCAATCGTTCATTAAAAAGTCAGTTTTTATTTTGGGTACCTTCTCAGGCTAGTAATCTAGCTGCTCCGATAATTCCTTTTGAATTATTTCTGTGAAGTGATCTGACCCCCATTAAGACACATCTTGGTTTTACAAGACTTTCAGAGAATTTGGCAGTTCTATTTATTACTTAATCCCTTCCTCCTCTGCTCATTAAAAGCAATGTCTGCTACGAATTTTCTAAAATTTCTTAAATATCAGATAACTTTATGTTAAATTATCCCTAAGCAAATACTTTATTTTTTCCATTACTTTTGTAATATTTCTCTTACAGATTTTATGTGATTTATTATCACCTGAAAACTTAAAAGAAGGCCTGAAGGACTCTTCCTGGAGTTCATTGCCATGTATTAAAAACAAGCCTTTTGGTTTTCCTTCAGTAATGGAAGAGTCTCATTCTGCCAGTGAGCTTAGTCCAGAGCAGGTAAGGGGTGAGAAAAGATTTTTCATGGATTTAGTGCATCTGTTTGACTAAAATTTTCACTTTCTTATTTCAAGTATTAAGAATCTATTGAGGCACTTTTAATCTATTAAGCATGGTCTTAATTAGATTTTGTCTGAAGCCTTTTTTATTTTACACGAAACTTTTATGTAAAATATTTGTTCATTAATTGTAGATTTAGGTCACCCTGCATATCAGAAAACTTTTAGTCTTGTGGAAAATGTAGAACATGGTATTTTAGTTTCCTCAGGGTTGGAACAAATAAATTAGCCTGTGTAAACCTCATTATAAACATGTATCAATTTGACTTTTAGGGCTATGTGATTATAAATAAAAGTCATTTATTTATCAAGGTTTTAAAGTTAAAAGTTGGTGTTTTTAAGTGAATCCTAAAATCAAGATTATGAAACATTGGAATTTCATTTCAGTTTGATTCTTGGTGAAAGCAATAAAAGATAGGGAAGAAATAGAGTTATCTTTGTTTATTGTATTTTTGTAGAATGAAGAAGTACCAGAGGTCACATCAGAGCTTATCAGAGGAAGCTTAAACCGGGCTTGGTCAGCACAGGCTATAAATTCAGCAGAAATGCCTGCCAGAGAGGACTGTTTAAAAAGAGTGTCCTCAGAACCTTTACTCTCTGTTCAAGAAAAAGGTGCTCTGCTGAAAAGAAAGTTGTCTCTTTTAGACCAGGATGTGATTGTAGATGAAGACGGAAGAAATAAGCTTAAAAAACAAGGAGGTAAAAAGTCACTACAGTCTTATAGGACACATTTATTTATTTAAAGTGGTCTTTAAACTTTTCCCTAAAGACGATAGTCCTATCTCTTTGTTTTAATAGAAACTCGCAATGAAGTCTGTACATTTTCATTAACTTCTGGTGACATCCCAGAAGAATTAATAGATGTCTCAGATTTTGAGTGTTCTCTCTGCATGAGGTAAGTATATAACATTTTACAAATTATGAATATTTTATATTAACAGATACAATACATAATAGATAAAAGTAATCTACTCTAATAGGCAATGTAAAGTGACAGACTACTGGACTAAATCAAAGATAGGAATTTTAGTTCTAGGCTTAACTTGCACACTTTGGACAAATAAATCTCTGAACACTATTTGGATTTACCTTAGTTAGAAAGTGGGGTCAGTATTTGCAGAACCTGCATTGCAGGTGTCATAAGAATCACATGACTTAAATATAAAAAAGTGTCTAGGAAATTGGAAAGTACTAAAGAAGTTACCCATACTAGTGAAATTTAGATACATCTCTGGTTTTAGATTTGGGTAAATATTCTAACCACCTGTTGTATGTATATGATTCTATCTTGTTTTTATATCTCAACTATAAAATCTTTTTAAAGTAAAGTTAGATAAATATTTCCATTATGCAGAAGGCTTGTAATTCTAGAAGACTAATCGTTTTGAAAGAACATTTTTCATTTACTTGAGTTTTGGTGGGGTCAAGGGAACACTGCATGGAGTCAGGAGGCTTGGTGCTGCCACAGGCTGGTAGGAATTAGCGGAATTCCAAGCAGATGCCCTACCTCTGAGCCTAGGCTTCTTTATCTGTAAGGAAAGGGCAGTGGGCCAGATGACTTCTGAAGTACCTATATATCTAACAATAATACTTCTAGGAAATTCAGAAGTATCATGTTTCAGGAAAGAATTAGAATGTTAATAAAACTAGTTTTCCTGTATTGTTTATTACATATGATATTAAGCCTAATATTTAAGACTCAACTGTAAGGTTTTAATTAACTTTGTATAATAAGGCTTTCATAAGCATATTAAGTCATTTTAAAGTGACGAAAAAATAATCTATACAAAAACTAAGATTAATGATATATTTTATATTATTCACATCTCTGAAATCTGTTGTGTATTTTACATTTATTGTACTTATTATATTTATCACTGCCCCTTCCTTCCTCTCCTGCTCACTAGATCCTCCTTCTTCCTCCAATAGAGGTCCATTATTTATTCACTTTTTCCAATGTATAGTTTAACGTGAAAACTAACATGTATTTTGGTTGGTTTCAGGTTGTTTTTTGAGCCAGTAACAACCCCTTGTGGACACTCATTCTGTAAGAATTGCCTTGAGCGTTGTTTAGATCATACACCATATTGTCCTCTTTGCAAAGAAAGCTTAAAAGAGGTAAACATTTGTATATTTATCTGTTTATTGGTCTTACTTAAGCTTGGCAACATTGATTTCTGTTTGGCCATAGAAATAGTGATTACCACGTTCAGAATAAGTTACTTTATGTATGCTAAGTGACCAGGAAGGATAACGTTTCATTACCCAAATGCTAGTGCTGGAGAAAGAAGAATTTAGAGAGCATAGGGGAAAGTTGGGTGGTCCTGGAGGCCAAGCCCCATGTACTTTTTTTTTAACAAGATCTGGTATGATCAAGTACCTGGTCTAGAATGGGTTCAATTTTAATGACAGTATTGGGGAAACCCAGTTGCCCTGCCTTCCATCCTCCTCAGTAATAGGCTAGATTTTGGCCCCACTTCTGCCCCCTTTAACATCTGGACCAACTCTAATAGAATTTTTTGCCTTGATGGAAATGCTCTATACTATGCTGTCCGCATGGTAGCCACTAGTCTCATGTAGTAATTAAGCACTTGAAATGTGGCTAGTGTGACTGAGGAACTGTATTCTAAATTTTAATTCTCATTTAAGTAGGCAGAGGTGACTGTGGCTACCATTTGGGCAGCACAGCTCTAAAGAGTGGTATATGGACAGAAGAGCTTCCCATAGCCCTTGTATAGCCCATGCGTTAAGGAAATAGCTAGATCTCAGGTGCATATCCTTCTGTAACCAATGGAAAGACAACATTCTACCAATCCTGCTTGGGTGATGAACCCCCCCCCCCCCCCCCCCGCCCCATAAGGTGAGGCCCAGGCATCATAATTCTGAGCTCCAACTGCAAGGATGGCATTGATTAGGGAGAGTGATCCTGTTTCTTGTGGTGATAGGATTGTTCAAAAAGATAAAAAGTTGATAAGACATTTTGTAAATGAATGTGTATATTTATTTCCTATATAGAAAACAGCTCTGTACAGATATGCCATATGTGTATTATTAATTTGATATCTAATAAACTTGTATGTAAAACATTAAACCATATACAAATTTTGTCCAGAAACAAGATAAACTCATTCTTAAAGAGTTTGCTAGTTACATTTCAGCTGATATACTTAATGTTTTCAGGTGAAGTACTCCAATCATGCTGTTTTTCTTGTGTTTCCAGGTTTTTAGATACTCTGTAGCACATTTATCACACTTTTTCTCTAATAATTAGACACGTGGCTTTAAATGTAGAGAGATCTCACCTTTAAAAATGTCTAGAGTTTGAAGGAAAACAATAAGCATATTATGTAAAGATACAATTAACACACTGTTTAAAAATAACTTTATTGTGTGTCTTAAAGATATATATTAGATTTTACCTATTATACAGGCTATCTTAAAAAACAAATTGATATGCTCTATAGTTTTACTCTTTTCCTACTTGTCATTTTCTTTTGCTCATTTTTTCATTTGAATGTATTCTAAAGATAGGATTTTTATAGCAACATAATAGTTCATTGATTTAACATTTCCCTGTTGTAAGTTGTTTTGTTCTTTTTTATATATATATACTATGCTTTGTGTCTTTGACTATATTTCCTTAAGATAAAATTTCTGGAAGGTGAATTATTAACCAAAAGCCATATATTCATAAGACTCTTAAAACCAATTACTGGGTTGCCTACATTCCCCAGAAATATTGTACAGATTTAATTTCTTATCAGTAATATAAGGTGGTATTTCCCCAAATTTAATATAAGAGTATTACATTATATATTATTATTATATAATATATAGCCCCATGGTTTTCAAAATGTGTTCCCCTTCACCTGGGAACTTGTTAGAAATACAAATTCTCAGACCCTACTCCACAGCCACTAAATCAGAAACTCTGTGGGCTAGGGCTCAGCAATCTGCATTTTAACAAGCCCTGATTCGTGCTGAAGTTTGAAAACCACTACTGTTACCCGTTTCCCAACCTCCCACATTCCCTCCTCCTCCTGTTCTTCATTGGATAATGACAAACCCTTAGTTTTGCTGCATCTGCAGATTTTAAAAGTATGGCTTCTCTGTATCTTGTGATTGTCTCCCTAGAGTCATTCCTCACTACTTTTATGAAATTTATATTGGTCATTTTTGTGTTCGAAAATTCTGTACACACCCTCTGACCTGGTCCCTGGCCTTAGGCAGTTTTTAAACTTATCTACAGAAATATAATGTCTCCTTGTCCATGTAATAAATACGGTGCAGGGTGTGGTAACTGCCTTTTATGTGGTAAAGGCGGTAGAAATGGGCTTCTTGCGAGCCAGAAAGATAATTAAGGCAGACTTCACGAAAAAGGTAAAGATGTAGCCAGGCCTTGCGGGATAGGCAGGCTTCTCATAGCAGGAGGGAGAGAGGCATGGCTTTTAGCAGTTACTAGAGAATGACAGAAACGTGTGAGTGGCAGTTTTGCAGAGTATTGAGGGAGCAGTACAAATGCACCATTTTATATGGAGAGGGACACAACCTCTCACTGAGGGTCTGAGTGATTGATAGTAGGTGATGAGGGAAGCAAAAATCTGAAAGAAAAATTATCTGGAAACTCTGCCACTGAAATGGGGAACAAGAAAGGGAATAGTTTTGCTTTTCTTAAATAAGGCACTTGCCTTTATTTTATTAGCTTATTTTTGTTTCTTAGTTAAAATGCTAGTTTGAAGTACCCAGAAGCTGCCCGATAGAAGTTGGCCTTTGGTGTGGGAGAGGGCAGGGCAGGCCTGAGTGCTGCTGATAGAGGATTCGTGGCCACAGCAAGACAAGGGTCTTCTGTATACGGCACGGTTTCCACTGCAACCGTGTACCTTTATTGGTCTCAGCACAGCCTGGACAGGTTGACCTGTTTAGCACCATCCGTTGTCATGTTCCCCCCCCCCACCCCTTAATTCAGAATTGACTGTATAAATATGTAATAAAGGCTTTACTCTATTCAGTTAAACTGTTTTGCCTGTTTTATACCATAGGAAAAGTACTGGAATGTAAATAATATTGTCTTTTAGTATCTAGCAGATAGGAGGTACTGTGTCACACAGCTGTTGGAAGAATTGATAGTGAAGTATCTGCCTGATGAGCTGTCTGAGAGAAAAAAAATATATGATGAAGAAACTGCTGAGCTCTCACAGTAAGTTTCTTCTCATAAAGTTAATGTAATCCCCACCCTTTGACACAGTAAGGCGACCTCCTCCCAGCAAACTGGATCCTGTCTGCAGTTCAACCCAGTCTAGCCAAAGGCGTATTTTAAACAAATAACTGGTCAGCTCCCCACTCTCCTCAACAGAAGTTTTTTTTAAAAGTTTCTTTAGTAACTTCCAGATGTTCCACTGGGGGTTGCTGACTCAGCTCTTCACCCCATTAGCAGGCTTTTAGGCGGAGGAGGAGGGATTTCCTGCAGTGATATCAGGCAGTGGAACTGGGAAGGGAAGCCTCAGGTACCTGGCAGGGCAGGAGGAGGGTTGAGGAGAAATGGCCCAGATTGGCAGGTGCATCAGCCAGTTAGAGCTTGGGAAGCAAGTGGGCCCTTGAGGCCTGAGCCTGAAATCGGAAGGAGTGACTTAGGGGCCAAATTCTCAATTAGTGAAGATTATTGACTGGTAGATTTAGTGCCAGGAGGTAACTTGGGCAATAGTGGTACAGATGGTACAGACCACTCTGAAGGGCGAGCACCCAGTGGCTAGGTGGGGATGGGTAGGTTGGACTTGCTTTTGCTGCTCTGTATTCTTTCTTCCTTGTCTTTTTCTTCCCTTCTTTAACCTTCGTGTCTTTCCCTCTTGCTCCAGCTACATGAATCTCTTTAAATTTCTTATGTAGGTATTTCATTTCTTTTCTTTCCCCCACTTTCTTTTAACTGGACACACTAAAGGACAGAATTGCAAATCTTACATGCTGGGTTTTTTTTTTTTTTTTTGTCTCCATTATTTTTTCTTACTAAGAAAAAATTGTGCTTGCAAGCTTAATACATGTCCACCAACTGTCTTTCACGAGACCAGTGGCCTTCAGTAGAATGCTTTCCAATCTTCTCTTGACCGAAGCTGATACTGATGTGTCTTCAATGGAACTCACTGTGATCTTATGATAGTAAATATTCTGATAGGAAGATTATGAACCTTTTTGATCAACACTACAAAAAGCCTGGATATAAGAAAGCAGATTTACTTCTGAAATCTGAGAAACAGACTCTGCAGAAGGGTGGAATCTGCAAATGATAGGTGGAGTAGTAATGTGAGGGGGGCTGAGCGTGATGCCCAGTTGCTTGAGAGAGTCTTGCTGCTTACTAACAGGCCTTTTTTTTTTTTTTTTTTTTTAAGGATAGCTCATCCCCTGGTACTTAAAAAGTTTTGCTAATAGGTATACTGTTTGGTTTTCTATCAGTTCTTATGTTGATGTGTAGAGTGATCAGTGATAGTAGAATACACATTTTTAAAAGAGGAACTAGCACTTGTGTTATTAAATACTACTTTTACTATGTCTTTTTGAAGAAAAACTAGAAAATATTATAAATGAGCAGGGTGAGGGGCCATAATCTATAACCCAGAAGGAATCACTGTGGGCATTTTGGCACATCTCCTTCCAGATTTTAATATCTATAAATACACTTTAAACAAAAATGGGATCATTTTATTCATATTGGTCTATAATCTCATTTTTTCCCAAGTCAACAAGTGTATATCTTTTCATGAAAATACGGTATTTCATTTTATGGTTATGTCAGTGTTACAGTAAACATCCTTGGAGGATTATTTCTAGGAGTTCAAAAGATACGAACTTTTTAAAGTTTTTGACGCACATAGTCGAATTTTTCTTCAGCATGGTTCTGTTTCAAATTGCCCTCTGCATTGCCAGATTTTCCCCCATACCCTTGCCAGAACCGGGCGTTGCCTTTATCCTTATTTCCTGGCAATCTGGCAGTGAGAAATATTCTCTAATTAGCAGAAGAAAAAGTTACCAAGTTATCTGTTTTTGACAGTGCATTTGAAAATACTTTAATGCCCTACAAAGAAGCTTAACAATTTGCTCTTTACTTTGGGAGTTCATTTTTTCTTATCTATAAGTAAGAGTATTTTATAGATAAAAGGTTAACTGTTATGTTACAAATATTTTAAACAGGTTCTTAATACATAATACTAACACTACTTATCTGTAAAGATAATTTAGCTCTGTATGATAACCTGGTATCTTAAATTCAGATTTACTTTTATAAAAGGATCACAGACTTAGTATTAGCATTGCATCTGTGTGAGCTTAATGAAGGAGATGTTGATTCTAATTCTTAGCTCTAAATAAGATGACTTTTATTTTTGCCGACTTTTTATATTAATTTATCAGTGTTGCAAACTTCATTTTTGTTTTATGTTCTGATGTGTGATAATGAAACTTTTTTCTTTTTCAGCTTGACCAAGAATGTTCCAATATTTGTTTGCACTATGGCCTACCCCACTGTGCCTTGCCCTCTTCATGTATTTGAGCCAAGATACAGATTGATGATTCGAAGAAGTATACAAACTGGAACTAAACAGTTTGGGATGTGTGTCAGTGATACACAAAATAGGTATGCTTTTTTGGTACATGAATATTTTTATGTTAGAACTTGCTTTGAATTTTGAGAACTTGCATGCTTGTTGCTTGAACTTTATTAATCAGAATTTTTCTTTTAGTTTTGCAGATTATGGTTGTATGTTACAAATTAGGAATGTACATTTCTTACCTGATGGAAGGTCTGTGGTTGATACAGTTGGAGGAAAGCGGTTTAGGGTTTTAAAAAGAGGAATGAAAGATGGATATTGCACTGCAGACATTGAATATCTGGAAGATGTTAAGGTATTAAAAAATGCTTTTTTAGCCCACCTTGGTATACTCTACCCTAGGCACTGTACAGGCATACAGGCTGATCTTTTTCCAGGCACATAAAACGGTTCTTCTATCAGAAGATAGATACTTAATACAAATTAGCTCCAAGTTACCTTTTTCTTATCTTGCTCTTACTGAGAGTTCCAGGAGAACTTGGGTATCCAGAACGTAGATCATCTTCATTTCTACAAGCTCCTCAACCAGCATGGTGCCTGGAATGTAGGTGGACACTGTGAGCACTTAACAGCAGCAGCTAATTGAACTTTCAATCCGTCTGAGTTATGAGAGCTGCTAATCCCTGCCCTTTTTAATTAAAGTTGATCATCAAAACTAATATCAGAATTAAGTGTGATATAAAGGAAAACACATAAAATCCTTTAAAAACTGTTATATATGTGTCTGATATAACCTTAATGATAAAAGAGACACGTTGGAGGATGTGTTCAAAATCCAGGGCATCACAGAGAAAATACCATCACCATACTTGTTGGTGACCGCTTACCTAGGGAGGCTTATTGTGATAATCTTCTTGGACAGGGTTAATGTGGCCTTTTTGATATTTCCAGTATCTAATCACCATCTGTGATTAGTTTGAGTACCAGAAAAAGGATTTGTGATGCTATCAATATCAAATTAAAGGCAAGTTTCTTTTGGAAGGGCATTATAAAACCATTGATCTTATGCTTTTGCTGTTCACTGACTTATTTGGGCCTTTCCTTTTATTTGCTTACTGAATATTGGCATTAGGCATTTCTGTAAACATTAGCTCATTGAATTTTCAAAACTCAGCAGATGAGGGAAGGTAAAAAAACAAAAAAGTGTTACTTTGCCTAAGATCCTATAGGTAGAGTAATGAAAATGACTTAAAGCTAGCTCTCTGGCTCCTAAGTGCTGTGCTTTATCATTATGCCATATTGCCTCTCTGGTAAACTCGATTAGTCTGATACTGCCTATCCTATCTTATTATTAATATGCCATGGGGACACTTTTCTTTGTGCAATGAGCCAAACGGATTGTGTGAGTTTAAATTTTGATATGATTGATACTGTCTGTGCCTTAGGCATGCTTGGTTAATAGAATCATTTGCTAAAGGCAATATTCTTCGTAAAAGTAATGCCTCATTTTAGCTTTTTGTAAGCTTACATCTTCACATTTGGATTTGATGACAAAATCCCTTGAGTGTATGGCCAGTCATATGACTAAATGTAAATATGGGACAACAGAATAGCATATTGAAAGCATTATAGATTTGATGTTTAGAAACAGTTGTCTTTGTAATCTTAGGAATGTCTAATAATTTTTCCTGGTCTTAATGCCTCAGCTATATAATGTCTCTTCTGGAAGAGCTTCTCAAATTTGTTTCTTATAGCAAAGTCTTTTCTTTTTTTCCTTAGTGTAGTAATTCTATTTTCTGTGACTTCTAATGAGGATTTAAAGTTCGGCTTGCTTTTTAGCCAGCTCCTTTTTCCATCTCAGGCACTTATCATTTTTGTCATTCCTTGTTTTCTAGAGCTCATGGTTTGTTTCCTTGAATTTTGTAAGGGTGCAAAGTAACAGTTTTTTTTTTTTTAATAGTTTTAACAAGTCACAAGTTTATTTCTAGCTTATATCAAGACCAATGTGGGGTAGCAGGGGACTGAATCTTGTGTAGTCATTCCAAAAGCAGAATTCTTCAACTGTATGGCTTCTCTCTACCTTTTTATTAACATAATTTACCAGTTTAATCATTTTTAAGTCTACAGTTCAGAGGCATTAAGTACATTCACATTATGCAAAAAGCAAGTGCTTTTTAGTTTTTTCATTTCAAATCTTTCAAAAATAAAATGTTTTCAGAGTTCCTTTGTTGTTTTTATGGTGAGTCATTCTTGAAGTATGAAAGGCTGAGTCAGGGCTGGTATTTGTTCAGATGAGTTAATGTATGTGAAATAGAGCACTCCCTGGCACGTAGCAAGTGGTATAGAAGTGTGAGCTAAAGAAATCAATGTAAGATGGATGTGTTAATGCTCCATTTTCTCTCCTGTGCTCTGTGAAGCTACTCCTTTTGGATCTTAGGCTGTAAGACTGATGCATTCAATTTTGTGTTTGCAGTTTAGTGATCCAGTAGTCTGAGGGGTTCAGGAAGTAGCCACAGCCTTGGCCTTAACAGCAAGCAGTTCATCGTAGCATAATTTATTCTCTATCTTTTGATATACTGGCTTTAGTTTCTTGTTGTTTTGACCCAGTTCCCTGCTAAAAGGTGTAATTATGCTTATTCTCCATCCTGTTAATGCTTTCTGCCATGTTATCTCTGCGTTAAACTTCCCCCGTTTTCCCTTTTATTGTAGCAGCTATATTCTTTTTTGTTCACTGTTTTCAAAAGCCATTAATCCATAAAGACAAAAAGGAATTCCAAATTCATGTAGACCTTTACCCAAGAATTCACTCTCAGTGGTACTGCTCTCAGTTGGGGGCTGGTGGTAGGGTTCTGCAGTATTACATTGCTCCACCGCCAAGGTGGGGTGTTGCTCAGCTGGTGTTTCAGTCTGGCCATTGGCACTGTGCGAGGCAGAAGTACATAATACGTATTGCATAATACTCTGATCCAATAGGTATTGCCTATTTTTAAATTATTTTTTCATTTTTGTAAGGCTAGTGGTAATGGGTAGGAAGACTAGACACAAGTCTTACTGACTATTGTACCTTCTAGGTTGAGAATGAAGAAGAGATCAAGAATCTCAGACAGCTTCATGATTTGGTATACTCACAAGCCTGCAGCTGGTTTCAGAATTTAAGAGACAGATTTCGAAGCCAAATTCTTCAACACTTTGGCTCAATGCCTGGGAGGGAGGAAAACCTTCAGGTATGAGGGCTTTGATATTGTTTCCAAAAGTCTCACTTTTTTTTTTTTTAAATAAACTCAAATTAGTGGATTTTTAAGTTTTTTTTCCCCTTTGGCACAGCATTCCCTTTGTCCCTGCTGTCTTTAAAATCATGACCATAGTCTCCAGATCAGTGGTGCCCACTACAGTTTGTCTAGGAAGGGGATGGACAGAATTGTCAGCTGAGGTAGCTGTAGCCGTCATTGCATAGAAGGAAGAAGCCCTTACCCGAGGATTTGCTTGAAGGAGGGATAAGGAATTAATAGTGGAACGTTCTGGTAAAATAGTACCACCTAGTAAATCGTGATTAAGAGACCTAGTTGGCCTGGGAGCCAGTCAGCTTCTTTGACAGTTGGGAGATGCATCATTTTATATACTTTCTAGAAGTTTTCTTTCATCTCCAACTTTTTTCCTTGCTACTTCAATTCATTTGTGTCTCTTCATATTTCATACTTCACTCCTCATGAAACCATTGTTCTGATGGTCTTGCTCAAGTACTGAGGCACTTTCTGTGCAAGCAAACGTGTGCAGTAGGTACCATAAAATGCACAAGAAGAAGTATCCCCATTCTGAAAAGTCTGATGATAGACCCATCCAAACACCAACTTTTAGGCCTAAGCCTTTTGAATTGAATAACATGGTTATGTTAGCAGATTTCATAATATATTGGCTATAAATAAATATATGAAGAGGGAGAGAGAATAGATCCCATTGTGATGGACACTGCTTCTCATCCTAGTTTTCAAAGGATGGTCCAAGTCTGTCTGATTCCCAGTTGAATCCTTCACCTGGACCTGAACTAACATCAGACCATCTCCGAATGGGTACTCATTGTGTGTCTTACAGACTAGTTGCCACACATTTGTTTTTTATCCAGGCTGCTAGAATCTGAGTAAACTTGATAGAGATAGCCTTTGATCATAAAATTGAGCAAGTAAATTTTAAAGGTAAAAACTCAACATTACTTTCACCACCTTCCCCTTTTATTATTCAGTCCTCTGCCCTTGCTTTCTGGTATTATTATTGTAGATCAGTATTTGGTCATGAAAACAAAAGCAGCCACTCTGTATAATCCAGGCATGAAAAGTTTATTGTAGGATGTAGAGTTGACACAGCTGTTGGCAGAGCTGCAAGAGTGAAGATCAGGGACATCACTGATGAGAGACAGGGAGCTGCCACCATAGATCTCTCAGCCTGACACCAGTAAAGCACCATCTCCTCCAGAAGAAGTTTCTGTAATTCTTAGGAATACCAGGGAGACACCTATCAGCAGCAGTCTGTAACACTGTAGCAGGTGGTTCTTAAGTATTCTCAGGAAGGCTCTGCGGATCTGCCAACACTTTACAACAGTCTCTGGAGAACAATGGTTTCTTCTCTTCCAACTTCCACATCTCACAGAAGTATGCCTCTCCTTTGCCATGTCTAACCAAGAACTGTCAGAGAGGGGATTCTGGGAAATGTTTCTGACCTCTCTGAAATGCAAGAAGGAGGTGGTAGTGATAGTGACCTGAAAAGTTTGACTCTCAAAGAATCTGGAGGAATACAACATTGATCTCAGGAGCGGTTTTTGTCATTTTGAACCAGGTGTCAGGTTCAATAAGAAGCAATCCAGTGTGCAATAGAAGTGGCTTAAAAATTCTTCTGTATAAATTCCAAGTTCTTTCGTTAGCCATCAGATATAGCCCTTATAACATCAGAAGGACTTCTTTGCTGGCAATGTTTATTTTTTCAAGCAAAACTGGAGGCTGAAACCTTTTATATCATGGCTAGAATTTCATAGTTCTTTGAAGACATTTTTAATTTAATTGATATTTAATTAGGATGGTTTTGCCTCCGTAGCACATTTGGCAGTGACAGCTCACCAACTTTTTCTCTTGCTACTTCAATTCATGTTTGTCTCTTCACATTTAATACTTCACTCATGAAACTGGAGATATTTTTCACTGTCACAGCTGAGGTGCTGCTACTGGCATCTTATTGGATAGAGGCTAGAGATATTGCTGAACATGCTAGAAGGCACAGGCCTGAAGTTGAGAGACCCTGCTCTAAGGCGGTGCGGTGCAGAGGGAAGCGTGCTGGCCATAGAGTCAGGACTGGTTTCAGTCTTAGGCAGTATACATTTCTGGTGTTCAGTTTCCCTGGTTTATATGGGTATAATAACCTTCCTTACATGATTGTTAAAAGAATTTGAGGTAGGAGCCGACACATAGTAAAGTGCTCAATGAAGAGTAGCTTGTTGGTTACATAGATGTGTATTTTATTAATACTGTAAACTGTTGATTATTTTTAGGCAACCCCTAATGGACCCGCATGGTGTTGGTGGCTTCTTGCAGTTCTTCCTGTAGATCCCCGATACCAGCTGTCAGTTTTGTCAATGAAGTCTTTGAAAGAACGATTGACAAAGATACAGCATATACTGACTTATTTTTCTAGAGACCAATCTAAGTAACTGCTTGGATCTTCCTTTAAAGTTACCCTAATCTGGCTGTGTTGATGGCCAGATTGTCTGCTGCCTTTTGCACATCCAGTGCTGGTTTGAGAAATGTAATGAAACCTTTTTTTTTTTCCCTTCAACCTTCAACCTTTTTTTCCCTTCAACCTGAATCATGTGGTTCTGCAAATGAATACCTTCAACTAGGACTTAAGACCACTAAGAACTTGCACAGAAAAACACGCACTGAATGTGTGTCAAACCTCTACATTGTGATGAAGTTGCACTATGTACCATATTCTAAAACGAAATGAGAACTGTGTGTATGTGGGGTGTGTGTGTGCGCGCGCGTGTGTGCATTTTCTCTGGCTTTAAAATTAAAAAAAAAAAAAAGCCATAGAGAGCAGACCTTGCTGAGGGTTGGTTATTGCCCAAGTTTACAACAGTAGTGATACAAGTTTTTGCGAGTTGAATTTGCCTCAGATAAATCTGTCCTAATGCTTCTATTTGCACAAGTATGTAAACTATGGTATTGAGTATCACTCTTTGTTGGAAGTACTGCTCTTGCTGAACTGTCTTGACCATTGACTATGACACAGTTTCTTATTTATGTAAATACTTGCATCCTAGTGGCCAACAGGCTTTGGATGCAGGACCTAGAGCCAGTTTTCAGGAACAATTGCAAACCTGCCATGGTACTGTGCATCTATTCATAAAACACTTAAAACTGTGAAACTATGGTTTACATTTAATTGTACATAAAGGTAAATGGAGAACTCAATTCAGTACCAGTTAGTTTGTACATTTTAGGGGACTTTCCACATTAACTGCCCATCTATATAATTTATAGTTTGACATGATGTGTTTGTTTAAAAAAAATTACATAGTATAAATCCATTAAGGATCTGGGGGAAGAGAAGAAGCTTAATGTAGAACTAAGCTTTTAAAGTATGTTTTATTTTTTAATTCTGGTCTTGGTGCAAATGTTAGTTATGCCTTATTCATATCACAATTAGATCACCATGCTGTGACATGGTTTATATTCATGCTGCCCTAGATACTTTTGTAATTATTTGTTGCAAACTTGTGACTGTCCCTATTAACTTTCTTTTATGTAAGTACTTTGTAAAAGTTTCTTAAACTTTTGCTTTTGCTTATTTAATTTTGAATAAAAGCTAAATTCATAATAATTTTTTTCTTAAATTTTAGGTCAGTGTCATAAAGATGAGATTAGTTTTGCTTACTGTTTTGTAACATGAGATATAAGCTTATACTTTTCAAACTATTTTTTGGGTCATTTTTTTGACCAAACAATGCAGTGTCTTAACATGGCCTTAGGCCCTAAAACAATCCTTTAAAGTACGATTTTTCAGCATTTAAAAAAGCCATGTCCCTTTAGGATAAAGACCAAATTCTTCATCTTACCCCCATTTGAGACTCCTTGATTAAACATCAGGACCCAATTACCCAGGTAGCATTTTCCAAACATATCATTTAACAGTGAAGATTTTTATATAAAATATATTCGGAAATGACTGCCTAGTGAACCATCCTTTGCCTCCATGATTATGCTAATTGAGAATTTTATCTAGAGTGGGCCATTCCCCAAAAGCACTTTATCAACAATCCTGGAGTGTTAAACTTTCTTATAATAAACTATTGAATGCCTGTTAAGTAGTGTCTGGGTAGTAATATACATGCAAAGTTAACCTATAATTCTTGAACTGTATATGATAAGGAAGTAGGATTTACCTGGTGCTGAATCTTCATCTGTGACACGTGTGTGCAGACACACAAATGGGCATTAAATGATCGCTGTGTACATATACATACTAATGGAAACTCATGAGTTTTATCATTTGACCTTAATTTTGTGATGAATGTTCCATTTTTCTGTCTGTAGATTTTCATGGATCCCTGAACAGCTATTTTCCTACTACATCCTACATACCATTTATCCAGAAAGGGAAAAAAAGTCTGATTCTTACCCTTATTATTCTAAGTGACTAAATTCAGTCCCTGTTCAACATTTCAAGTCAAAGTAGCTAGTTGCTGCTCTTAATACACCTGACTCTACATGTCCATATATCTTCCTGGTCAAAGAAGACTCTTAACACCTTCGCTCAACTAAAACTCTGAACTCCATAGTACTTTCCTTGTGTTTTGCTAATGGCACTTACAGGAGATAACAATCATGCATAAACCCACTCATGAGTATTATGATTGGTGCCTAGCAGTTTAGACAGATTTAATAGGCTGACCACTCAACTGAAATAAGTGCCAATTAGAAAGAGTGACTGCATAAAGACGGTTAGAGCAATAACTTTGCCTTCTTCCCCAAATCCAACAAAAATGACAGAAAAAAAAAAAGAAAGAAAGAAATCTAATGACATTGTGAAACCAAAAATCCATCAATTGACAAATGCTTTTGAGGAATTTCTGAGCTATGGGAACAGGACTTGATAGAGAAGACTGAACACAGCTTTGCAGAAGAGGAAGACTATATTGCAACTAGGGGAGGGTCTTGGAAAACTCAAGAGAATTTTGTGGGGAGATAATACCTGACAAAGGTAGATCATTTGGCTTTTTCCCTACTTGGACTGAGTAACAGGTAGCAAGAGCAGCTGTTCTCTAGCCAAATCACAGAATGTGGACACTGGGCCAAGAGAAGACCCATGAAACATTAGCTACAGATCCCCAGTAGGATGGAAAGCCCCCACACTAAGAGGGCAAACCACTGATCTACCTCATGTGGTAGTGCGTTCCAGTGTTCTTCCACAATCAACAGAAGCAGGCTGCCTGTGACTGTTATTCCAAACAACAAAGATAGACAAACCCTAGAAATTTGAGGAAAACCTCTAAATGAGACACCAAAATCAGTATCTTTAGATTTGAGGATTCAAAAAAGAAAAATTATCTTTTTTTAATTTCAAAAATGATCTAGAAATCTAAGAAATGTTTTTAGACAATCCCTGGTACCGCAAAAACATTCAATAGAAGTTCGTTGAATCAGTGAATGAATCATAAAAATAAGTAGGTGAGCTAAATAAAAGAATGAATGCAATGAATTTTTTTTAAAGATTTATTTATTTATTCAGAAATAGAAAGGCAGAGGGAGAAGCAGGCTCCATGCAGGGAGCCCAACGTGAGACTCGATCCTGGGTCTCCAGGATCACACCCCGGGCTGCAGGCAGTGCTAAACCGCTGCGCCACCGGGGCTGCCTGAATGCAATGAATTAATGAGGAGGAAGGTTGAATTGGGACCCCTTCCAGAACACAATGATAGATCCATTAAGTATGAGATATGGAGGATAGATTCAAAATTTTTACATCCATCTACTAGAAGTGTCTTAAGAAGAGTGGAAGAGAAGCAGCAAATAGTACAAGTAATTTTCTCAGACCTCAAGACAAAGAATAATCTACTTGCTTTCTCAGGGACCAGATTCATCCATCTAAAGGGAACAAGGCAAACTTAGACTGAGCACAAACAGAATAGCAATAACTCCGTTGTCTAGCATTGATCTGCAATGAGAGAACTGGCCCAATGATATGAATCTAGTATGAATTTTCTTCATAAACCAATGTTCAAATGCCAACATTTTCAAAATGTTAAGCATTTTTACAGATAAAACCTTTATAACTCAGTTTAATAAATGAGTTCTCTTGCAGACCTGCCTCCAAATAGCTTTTGTCTGTTGACCAAAATTAAATATATCCATAAAGGTTTTGGGGCGGGGCATGATTTAGGGTATTGAAAAGAATATAGGCTTACTTTGAAAATGTAGTAAGACCATATTTAATCCAGAGAAAAAAACCTGTGAGGCAGGCATTCTTCTTGTACAGATGAGAAAACTGAAAGACTAAGTAGTTAAGTAATTGTCAAAGGATTTACACAGCTAATGTGTGGTGAAACTGACTTTGAATCTAGGCATCTGGCTCGACCTTATTGCCATATCAAGTTATAAAACATCTAAGAAGGTCAATGTGTAAAGAAGGGTCTGGAAATGATTCACTTGACTTTCTGACATAGCAGGCTTTATGCGTGACAGGGAGTACATTTTACAGCTATGGAATTAGAACTTGATTTTAAGCACCTCACCAAGGTGGTGAGATGGCCAAATCAAGCTTAGCCATATATTTTTGGAAGCAGTGTAAATTGCTAACAATCTTTTTAGAAAGTTATGTTGCAGTGTATATATCGAGGATCATTAAAGTCATATTCTTTGACCCAATCTAACTTTAGAGGAAGTACCTTAATTCAAGAAAATATAATCCACATGAATGATGATATTCTTTTAATGTCTCTAGAACAGCAAAAACTTAGAACCAACCAGTGCCTACTATTGGTAACAAATAGACTGTGTGAAAAAGCATAGTTCAAAAGTATAATTATGCCAGAATTAACATGGTATATTAAAGAGAAGACATGGGAACCTGGATGGCTCAGTCATTGAAGTGTCTGCCTTTGGCTTGGGTCATGATCCCAGGGCCCTGGGGTTGAACCCCACATTGGGCTCCCCACCCAGTGCGGAGACGGCTTGTCCCTCTCCTGCTCCTTTCTGCCTGCCCCTTATGCTCTTTCTCAAATAAAAAATGTTTTTAAAAGTAGAAGATACTAGGTAAAAATGAAAATGATAAGGTCAACAGGTAATAGATTTTCTTTAGAAATCCTGTAGGTCTTAGAGGGATGGCCAGCCACCTAATCTGTTCAACCTACAGCTACATTACTCTTGGGATTTACTATTTGAAATTGTGACCACATGAACTTTTATGAACATCACGGTTACACTGATCAACTTTGTTCTGTTTCAAGTACACAAAAGCTTGGAGGCTGGAAATAGTAAAGAATGATTGTATAGGCATATACCTTAAAAAAAAAAACCTCAGGGTATTTGGCATTGTCCTTTCACTGTTCAGTATTAGGAGATATGAAGAGAAGTAAATGTGAAAACCATTTTGGTGATAAAGATGTTAAACCATGGTAACCACAGGACTTCCAGGAAAGATGGAGTAGGAGGATGCTAAACTCACTTTGTACCACAGACACACCTAGATAACACTCAACCACTGTAAATAATGCAGAAAATGACAAAGTTTGGTAGAACAAACTTTCTAAAGCTAAATATAAAGATGCCATGTAACAGCAGAGATGAGATCGGGAACCAAGCTGACCTATGAGACTGTCCTGGGGAAGGAGGGATGACCACTGCAAGCACAGATAAGGGAACAATACAGACACCACACCAAGGACCCTAGGCCTGGGGGACCCACACAGGAAGAGGAATCCCCCTAACATTTGTCTTTGAAAACCAGAAGACCTAACATCACATGTTCATAAAATCAGTGGAATAACACCTAAAACTTTAAAAATCAGCAGACCCTACTCTGGAAGATCAGGCATATAATAGGAAACTGAGTCCCTTAAAGAGACAACACAACAAACATCCAAAGACACAGCATAGAAGCAGCAGTTTGAAAGAAGAAAGGGGTGGTGGTTGGGCGATACAGGAAAGAAATTTACTTCCTAATTTCAGAACATGCACTAGAGGAGCAGGCATCTTTAAGAGACTTCTCCAAGAACAAAAGAACTGTCAGACGCCATTTCCTTCCCTCACCCCCCATCCTAGATACCCAGACACCTGCAGGAACCAGTACAGCTCCCACACATTCTGCCTAGTTTGCTAACAGTGAAACCAGTTCCTGTGTTTCCTACAGGCCTGCCCTCTTTAACCCACCCTCAGCAGGAGACCACCCAAAATGAGGCCACAAGCCTGGCAGTGTACAAGCAGCCCAACAGGGCCAAAACCACTCTAAAGTGACTTGAGTGAGCCACATGAAGGGGGTTAATAACAACACATCAGTTTGACATTTGTCCCAGCAATAGGTTGGGGGTGGACATCTGGTCTGATTGCAGGCCCCACCCACTAACAAAAACCTCGCAGGGGACAACACAGGGAAAGAGCTCCACAGTGTAGTGCTACTGCGGCTTTGGCAAACATCTGGTCTCACTCAACACAAGCCCAAAGCAGCCCCAAACTGGCACATTAATATCACATGCACCAAGTCCTGCCCACAACAGGCAAAGAAAGCCATTGCAGATGACTGAAGTCAAATACAGCTCAGATACAATAGTAGGGCACATGCAACACACAGGCATCCGTGAAGTACCAGGTTCTAGCAAGTGGGATGTTGCCCTGCAGGGTACTGCAAGACCTCTTCTTCCTATGGCCACTGCTTTCAAGAGCAGGAGACATAGTTGACTTAAATAACACACAGAAACAAACATGAAGAGTTAGACAAAGGAGACAGAGGAATAGATCCCAAATGAAAGCACAAAATCATGAGACCTAAATGAACTGGAGTTAAGGAATATGCCTGATGGAGAATTTAAAGTAATGATCATAAAGATACTCCTTGGACTTAAGAATGGAGGATCTCAGCAAGATCCTCAACAAAGAGATAGAAAATAAAGAACCAATCAGAGATGAAGAACTCAAGAACTGAAATTAAAACACACTACAGGGAATAAATAATAGACTAGGGGAAGCAGAAAGATAGATCAGTGACCTGGAGGATATGGTAATGGAAAGGAATCAAAAGAAGAGACTAAGAGAACTCAGTGACCCCATGAAGCATAACAATATACACATTATAGAGATCCCAGAAGATGAAGAGAGGGGAATAAACAGGGGGCCAAAAATTTGAATAGCTGAAAATATCCCTAATCTGGAGAAAGAAATAGCTTTCCAGATCCACAAGACAGATATACCCCCCAACAAAATCAATCCAGGGAGTTTTACACAAAGGCACATAGTAATTAAAATGGCA